TGGTGAAAATTTCATGTCATTAGCACCTCTAGTAATATATTTACTGAGAAAAATGGTGACGTGTTCAATACTTATTTTACCCGCTGTATGTAAACAGTTCAATAACATAATCGCTTATATTCTTTACAAACATCCCATCTATGTTAACTCAATCTTTTTATCTTTTATCTGGAAAATTCTTCACAATCCTTTCACCAAGAAAGATGCTGTTGAAACAACCCCTGACTGTACGACCCATTATTATCTACTTTTGGTATTTTTGATGCAAGACTTGGGCTAACCTTCACATAGTTTAATTTTTCCAGTCATTTAGATTTTGTGGATGTATACACAGTAGTTGGAAGTRTAGTAAAGGTTGCAAACCTTCAACTTATTGTCTCTCTGTTTCTCATCAAGAGTTCAGTTTTAAACTACCTCCTACTTTTGTCTGGGTGCTCTGTGAATTAAAGTGCCAGCTGAATAAAGAGCATTTGTGTGTTTTCAGGTATACAAATGCTCACCGTCCAGCCGGACACCAAGCCAAAAGGCTGTGCCGGCTGCAACCGGAAGATCAAGGACCGCTACCTGCTGAAGGCTCTGGATAAGTACTGGCATGAGGACTGCCTGAAGTGCGCCTGCTGCGAGTGCAGGCTGGGTGAAGTGGGCTCCACTCTCTACACCAAAGCCAACCTCATCCTGTGTCGGAGAGACTACCTCCGGTAAGAGAGCAGCTTCAGCATCTCACACTGAAAACATTTGACTCTTTGTGTGRACACAGTCTTATCTGCTGGAGACATGATTCAGTGGCAGCTGCTTCATTAACACATCAGTTATGAGTTTTAYCACAGTGATGCTGAATAAAATGAAATTTTTTTCACTTTATTCATTTATTGACCTTTTCTGTTATTTCTGTCTGTACCATGTATACAATGACAATGAAGAGATGATTTGTTTTTCTAATGAAGGCATTGAATTCAGTACGAACATGACATTTCTACCATTTTTTTTGTTTTGACATTACATCTGCTATAATCTGCTGTTGTAGATGTAAATGACATTCAGTCAATCAGTTCACATAAACACAATCATTCTGGGATCAAACGATCAACAAACTAAGTGTCTAAGACCAGAAATACAATAAGATCTTAGTAGTAAACTACATTTATTACAGGTCTGTGTCTCCCTATCATTTCAGGCTGAAACCAGAATATTCTAATTATAAATATAATAAATATATGCATAATGTAAAAATAAACCAGTACTCTAACAAATAAAACATTCTGCTAAAGTAAAAAAGATTACAAAAACACTGGTAAAGCACAAATATTTCATATTTATTAGTGAATCTACCAGGAGCAGGTCGACACAGACCGAGTTCCAAGCAGGAGAAGAGTGACAGAGACCACCAAGACACCTGAGACCACTCTGAATGAGTTACAATCAGGAGATCAGATGGGAGAGATTGTAAATACGCATAGTCACTTTAAAAGGGGTGAATATTTATGCAGTCAGTTATAGTATGACATATTTTCACATAATTGGTATTAATCTGCAGAAATTTGACTTTACTTTGACACTGAAGAGGGTTTTGGAATGTTTTTTTGGTAAAGAATTCCCATTTTAATTGATTGATGTTAGAGAGCAATACAAGCATCACACGTCCAAAGGGGTAAAGACTTTTTATAAGAACATTTTGTTTTCAATTTGGCCATAGCTCAGACCAGAGTGTAGTGTAAAGCAGAGATTCCCAAGCACCACCTTGAAGGCCTCAAAAGAACAACAGTTTTTAACTTTTGGCCGCAGAGGGCCATGGGACCACATTGATT